CCCATATTGACTAGTTTATCTGACTATTGTCCGTTTTAAGACCATGGGAGGAAAGTTGCATCAGAATATGGTTGATTTACTGAATCATGAAAGTCATTTATACTCTTCGCTGCTAGTAAAGTGGCTCATCCTGTGTTCATAGAGTTCAACAGGGTGAGCTTCCATCCTATAATCTTAATAATCTGTGATGCTCTTTGATGCCCCAATGGCAATTCTGACCACTGTTTCCATATTAAACAACAACCGAAAAACACAAGCATGCATTGTGGTTGTTCAATACTGAACCAATAGACCCTGCCTGACTTTGTTTATTTGAGTCTTGTCAGGAAATGGAGTCTCTGTTGTTTCTTGTGCATGTGTGTTCAGGTTAGGTTGTGATTTATTCGAGGAAAATAAAATGACAGGTGAAGTGTGAAATTGTCAGATTTTTTTGACAGGAGAGAAAATAAAACACAGATGATGCACATCAACGTGTCGGTTAAATCCAAAATGCGAAGAAGCTTTTTTCTCGCTGGCACCGTCTTCGTAGCTGCGTAGCTTCACAAGGAAAATTGGTTTCCAGGTGTTTGTAATTGTGATTTTTCTGACACTGAAGAGCAGTTTATTAGACAAAAATAAAGTTTATTGGTTTATAATAACACAATGTCATATTTTCTTGATTTCTATTGCTCTAAAGATGGTTCAATGCATTTGACACGTTAAACTTAGTTTGAGCCTTCAAACATCTGTATATACAAACAAGTAGAGGGAAAAAATGTCATTGCCTGAGGAAAAAAAGGCAAGATGATGAATGGAAATCAGCCTGAGCAGAGCAGGGGAAGTGTTGACAGCTTCTACAGCAGGGGTAAACAGAAAACACCCTAATTAGTAGGAACACCGTTCAGTAGACGTAAGACGCCACAGAACAGCACTGATTTTGGATGAAACCTGCTGTTCAGTTTCATCAGGTTGTTGCTAATTGTAAATAAGGTCTAATAGAAGCTGCAAGCCGAGCCATGAAGCAGTTGTAGTACCCTGCACCGCACGTGGGAGGCGATATAGGACCTGCAAATCTGGATGGATTCATGTGAAACGGAGATACTAGTCTGATAGATCCCCATTGGAGAAGCTGTGCTTCAGCACACACACTACTTCCCTCCTCTTTCCCGCTCTCCCTCATTCTCACACACATACTCTCTTTTATTTATTTTTTTCTTTTGCCTCAGACACTCATTTCTGCCGCTCTCTCCTGTTTCATCCATTCCTCCATGGAGGGCAGGAAGGTGATTTCATTCACTTGATTGGACAAAACGGGGATGTGGTTGAGGACCTGAAGGGACAACAAGGACTCTTTAGGGGGAGTGTGTGTGTGTGGATTCCACTGGGAAGAACCGGCGGAAGATTTCTTCCAGTGGAAATTATTTGCATCACAAAACCAGTGGAAAGAGGACCCTCATTCTCCGTACTGGCTGCGCAAGAGGTGCCGTCCACTGTATTTAATTTGTGATTTCTGAGCGTGCTCACCTTTTCAGTATGCAGACTCAATGGCTTCTTTTCTCATGCAAATGTGAAATAGGCTGGTTGCACTGCAGCTGGTTGCTCTAATTCAGGTTGGCATGATTTTAATGGAATACCCTACAAATTAGTCCAGGATAATGCATGCTGATGATTGTGTGTTTGTGTGCAGGGTTTTCCAGGACGCACGAGGGAAAAACAGAATGCGTTTAATAATTCATGGTGCCAGTGTGACAGAAAACTTCCAAACTGCGTTATTTTTTAAATGAATGTACCTCTCATTACAGTTCTTGCACTGTCACCCCACCTTTTGTTTGAGGGTAATTATAGTGTCGTGTCTGCGTCTGTCTTCACATGTGCATGTTGACATGTATGCATCCCAACATGTCAGGCTTTAAAAACACTTAACAGGCAAAAGGAGGAGAGGAAACGGCTTAATGCTGGGTGGAATTGTGTCAAAATGTTGCTTTAAATTGGATGTTGAAGGATAGACAAATGTATTTCAGCCCTTGCACCACCTCTGTGCTATATATACATTATTTATATATTTATTTATTTTTAATATTTTTAAGTAGCAGGTTTGATAAGAGCAGTGGTCATGAAGAAGCTCTCCTCCCTTTTTAAATGTGATTATAATATTGAGTAATAGGAGAACGGAATGTACACAAGGTTTAATTTTTGTCCATTTTAAAATCACCCTTTTTTTCTCTCACGGGATCGGTTGTTCCCCATTTTCTTGATTTCTCAACTTCTTTCTCATCACGTCATCCCTGTTTTTATTGTGTACCCTGCTGAGCCAGCAAAATCTAATGGTTTTAAGTGGGAGTCCATTCACAGAACTGCTCAAGACACGTAAGAGGTGGAGGGGGTGGCTTAGGTGAGGTGTGATGAGAAAGGAAGTGGAAAAAAACAAAAACAGGCCTCTGTGGAGTGGCCGTGGGTGATTTATATGCAGACGTCTCTGCACGTGCGTTAAACCAGCGCTGCAATTAACACCTCCACCAATCCTTGGCTGCACTTGACAGATGTTGTGTCTGAGTGAGAGCAAAGTGTTTTCATTAGTCTTGGCTGTTGGTTTAGGAATTCAGATTGTTTGCTCTGGTTTTCAGAAATTCTAGGCCATGTATTGGTCACTTTAGGTGTGATAGATTGACACAAAGTAGAGCATATTTGTGAAGTGAAAGGAAAATGATAGATGGTATTTAAATTTTTGTACAAATGTAAAACAGAAAAGTTTGACACATTTGTATTAATCTACTTTTAGTTTTAGACCTGTGACTAAAAATCCGTGCAACATGTTGCTTTTTGATGTCATCTAAGTAGACATCTAATTAATCCACCGGTGTGTAATTTAATCTAAATACAAGTGTTCTGTGAAGGTCTGAGGTTTGTTACTGAATGCTACTGTAATTTCCCGTCTATAAGCAGCTACTTTTTTCACATGCTTTGAACACTGCAGCTTATACAATGCTGTGGCTAATTTATGGATTTATTTTTTTGATGTGCGGCTGTGTCTGAGTGGTTAGAGCAGTTGTCCTCCAATGCAAGAGTTGGGGTTTTGAATCCACCAGCAGTCGCATGCCGAAGTGTCCCTGGGCAAGACACCGAACCCCTCATTGTCTCCGATGTGTGTCTCATTGGTGTATAAATGTGATAAAGCATTGATTAGTCTTTGTAGAGATCTAGTAGAGTGCTGTATGAATGGGTAAATGAGGACACAGATTGTAGTGTAAAGAACTTTGAGTATCTTGATTAGATAGAATGGCGCTATATAAGTATAGTCCATTCACCATGGGCTAACGAGCTTTATGCTGCCAAAACATTTAGCTTTGTCATATCCAGGGACTCTCATAGCTGCCCAATACATGTCTCTCTTGGGGGGAGGGTCCTCATGACTCATTGAGACTAACTGTATAAATAAAGGTAAAAAAAAAAAAAATCAGACCAATGAAATTACCGAACAGGTCACAGTTAAACCAATGAAACGGAGTGGGAGGAGAGAACGGGGAGGGGGTGATCCTCCCCATAGACTCTCCTTCATGCACAAAGCAACTTTTGCTCTGCGGAGCAGGAGGAATATGAAGATGGCGATCAATTACCTCATGGTAGGCTACTGTATTTTTCTTTAACCAGCTGTGTTACTGGCACTGTTCAGAAAAATATCATTTACTGTACGTATTTGTTTATATTACCAGTACGTATTGTAGCATTTTGCTGTGGTTGACTGTCGATCACATGACCTCAGGGTGGTATTATGGGTAAAATTTATGTTCATTGTTAATCATTTTGGTTAGTTGTTTAGCATTGTTCTTTTAGCGATTAGTCTGTTCTTGTTAGCCTAGTTTATGTGTTCATCATGTTAGTTTGTGTTAGGCCATTCAGTAGAGTAACCATGAGTAACTGAGGTAGTTGTCATGAAAACCTGTGGGGCTCACTCAGTCTGTGTGTGTTGAACAGGAAAATAACGTTTACGAAACGCCCTCTGGTGGTTGATTCTTGATCTACAACAAAAGCTGCACATTTCTCTTTAGTAGCTGTGTGCTGCCATGCTACAGTATTAAATTAAAAGTTTAAAAAAGCTTCTGTGTAAATATCTTATGTTACAACGTGGACACCCACAGCTTATAGACAAGTGCGGCCTTTATATGTACAAAATATTATTTTATTTACTGTGCGTGAGGGCAGCTTGGGGGCACAGTTGGTAGAGCTGCTGCCTCTCAGCGAGCATGTTACGCTGGTCCGAGGGCCTTTCTGGGTGGAGTTTGTATGTTCTCTCCGTGCATGCGTAGGTTTTCTCCGGGTACTCCAGTTTCCTCCTACAGACCAAAAACATGCATGTTAGTCTGATTGGTAACTCTAAATTGTCTCTAGGTGTGAGTGAAAGAGTGAATGATTGTTTCTCATTTGTCTCTATGTGTCCTTGTAATGGACTGGAGACCTGTCCAGGGTGTCCCCTTCCTCTCGCACAGTGATTGCTGGACAGGGGCACCAGTGACCCCCGCGACCCAAAAAGGAAGAAGCAGGTAAAGATAATGGATGGATGGATAGTGAGCGTGACTTATATTCAGGTGCACTCAATAGTCCAAAAATTACGGTAATTTCTAAATGTGCAAAGTTGTTAGAGGCAATCTGCTAAATGCTTTGGATTGGAATGACAATGAAAGGTGGTTCTATAAAATTTTGCATCAGAAAGCTGAACGCCAATGAGCTTTAATTGTGAAGGAGGAAAATGATGCATGGTTGTCAGAACTGTATACAAATTTGCACTACTTTTTGTTGGTTAATACATAAAATCCTAATCAAATTATCCAAAGTTTGTGGTTGCAATGTGACAAAATGCAAAAAAAAAAAAAAAAAAAAATGAGTTCAAGGGATGGTAATACTTTTAAATGGTACACCTGTTTCTGATCAAGTCCTCATAAGATTCCTTCCACAAGAACAACTTGACTGAGTTGAGTTACTTCCATTAATAAGTATTCTACTAATTACTATTTGTCTTGCTCCAGGGGGCGTGATAGACAAGGACCTCCGCCGATACCTCAACCTGCGCTTCCAGAAGGGTTCAGTGGACCACGAGTTGCAGCAGATCATCCGGGACAACCTCTACCTCCGCACCATCCCCTGTGAGTTAACTCATTCCCCAGTTATTCAGCCTCACTCACCTTACCGAGTGTCACACTTTTTTCCCCACGGCTGAGTTACCCCTAAGGCCAAGTGTGCAGTCGGAACAAAGCTCTGGACTCTAGGGGTGACAAAAGCTGCTGAATTAAGGAAGTTACACCTCACAAGTGGAAGAAAGCTGCTATAATCTACACAGCAGGAATCCTACAACAAACAATTGAGCTCACAAACAGCTTTATTACAAATGATTCTTGCAACATGGACTCACTGCCATAAATTACCATCTGACACACAGTTGACAAATTAATCTCCAATTTCTCTGCTGTGTTTGCTAAAGAATCATGGGATCTTTACATATCTACATGAGCTGGGCACTCCTAGTTTCACATTAGAGAAAAGCTCAAGATGAAGCTTCTAAATAGACCTCGAGTTGGAAACAGTTTTGTCAGGTTTAACATGCCACACACATTTTTTGGCTAAATGTCTCCAAACGTAGTGTATTAATCTTGGAGATGAGCTCTGGATTGCTTCTGGATCTTCAGGGGGAAAGTAGCACCTTGGGAAGTAGCAGTTCTTAAAATGTAGGAGGAATAAGAGCCTCTTGACTGGTGCATCCATTCATGCATCATGCCTCTGAATTTGTTTGATATTCTGAATTATACATTTGATCACAGAATGTTGTTTTCCTGTTGGTTTCAGTCTTTCAAATTTCCGTTTTTATGGAGAGTCGTTTAATTTCTGGAGTGCCGTTTTTAGCTGGAATCCGTTTTGTGTGGACTCTTAAGAATCAAGTGTTGACTGCGGCTCTCCTTTTCTAATTAGCTGCATTAAGAGTCTCAGAAGAGCACGCAGTCGTAACATAGTGTTCTGTAGATCATCAAAGATAAGATTTGGAAGGCTTTAGGATATTGATTCTTTGTGTTTTTTAGAGCAGGGGAGCATTTTAAACCAAATGCCTCTCCATGTCTGATAGGCTTCATTTGTGTGTGGTCCGTATTTATGTTTTGGTGCTTTACCAAGCTTACTGATGGTAACAATAACTGTGTGATTCCTTTTTGTTGGTAGACTTAATGCCTTCTGTCGTCAGTCAAGTTTTGATTTTAAAAAGTGTCTGTTATTTGTGTCGTGGTAACTTAGCTGTGCCATTATGACCAGCTGTGTGATGGCCAACTCTCCCCTGAATCCCTAATGGAGGCGCATTCTTCAAGGCCAAGAGAGGGAGGATTTCTCTGGAACCAGATTCCTGTCTCCCTCTCTGTTCAGACTGCATCAGGAGGGACAAAAAAGACGGGAGATATTTATTTGCAACGCAAGCACAATTTTCCCTGATAACCACTCGTGGAGCTGCTGCTGGTGCGGCCTTGAAGATAGCGGAAGTGGTGAACTGTAGAGAGCGGGAGAGCAAATAAAAGAACAACTGAAGGGTAAAGAAAGACAAAAGTGAACTGAAGGTTAAAGGGAGGAAGTGACGAAACCAAGCTGTGGAAACTATACAAGTAAACAAAATGTAAATAAACGGTAAAGGAAGAAAAATAGGTAGAGCAGGAGAACACACGAGTTAATGAAACTGCAACAGATCTCATGGCAGCTGAGGGGAACAAGATAAAAGGCAAGTCGTGATTTATCAAATGTTTCAAGCTGAACCTGAGAAACATGCTTCCTCTCTTGAAGTGATTTATTTAAGGGCTAAGGGGGCATGGGGAGTCTAGGTCAACCTGATGCTGTTGCGCCTCTGAGCTGCTTAGGGAAGTAGTCTCAGAGCTGTCACAGTTGATATACTGTATCGGTAAGCCAGCATAACAAGGTTGCTATGTACCTTATTATTTGCTGTACAAGTCACAGTTTTTTGCATAAATTAGCATTTCTGTAACTTATACAGCAAAGCGACATATTGAAGTTTTTCCCCATATTTAGAACACAATTTTTGGCTGAGATCTGACGATTTCATTCATTCGGACGTGGAAAACATTGAACACTACTGTTTTCAGCCACTAGAGGGCCCTCGACTAATATGGCAAGCCGAGTGTCTCATTAATAGGTAAAAGTAGCTATTAATGAGACACTTGGCTTGCCATACAAAGCCACCTTCGTCTTGCTCCGGAACTACTGGAGCAAACGTCAAATCAGCTGCATTTCGCTGTCACCCAGGTGAAATGCAGTTGATTTGACCATTAAAGTGCATTTATTAAGGACAAGTTAAACTGAGACACACCTTTACTATAATTTCGAGCAAACAAATAATTGTTTTTAAGTTAATCTTGCTAAATTCTCATTAAAGCTCTCCCTTGCACGCTCACGCAACCGCCATTTGGCAGCCAATCGATTTTTGGCACAACACTGGCCCACATTTCTGGGTTGTCAGCGGTGACGCATAACAAACGCAACGCGTCAGCGGTGACGCATAATAGATGTGACTTATACGGCGAAGCAATGTATTTGTTTTTTTTCCACTTTATTAGACATATTTGGACTGACACGGCTTATACGGCGGTGCAACGTTTACAGTGGCAAGTACGGTAGTGATGACATAAGAACGTTATGACCAGCTGGCTTGTGGTGTTTAGATTGGGAGATGTCAAATGTGTTTTATGAGTCGTGCTTTATGTCAAAGCAGCTTAGTGATGCACAGTTTCTTGTATGGTTCCAAGATGTGTCATATGTTTAAGCTTATATCCTCCAGGTCATAACCGGCTCCATTGGTGCATATGTGAACAACCACAAGTGTCTTAAAGAAGGGCTTGTGTTTGTGGCCATATCGTGGAACCATTTTATAAAAATTACATTTTTTTATACCAATTATCTGACAGAAACATCCAAGAAGTTTATGAACATGTCTAATGTGTGTGTTGACAGTGATGTTCCATCAGAAAGCAGGTTCAAACGGTGGCACTCGAAAAATAAAAACGCAAAATGCCACCGATTCTACAACAAATTTTAATCAAATTATTTATTGATTTTAAGTTGTGTTGAGTTCAAATTTCAAACGAGTTGAGCTCAAATTTCTGGTAAGAATATCTGCTGGAGAAAATATCTCGTTCTCTGAACTCAAAAGAACCACTCGCACAGCAGATGAAGATTTTTATCTGGCACTTTTACTTGCAAGGTCAGATTTCAGGTGACAGACATAAACATATATAAGCATATATAATTGTATATACATAAAAAACAGTTACAGAAATGAGCCACGAGCCGCGTTATCTGTTCGCTTTCAAAACATTATCAGTTCCGCAGAGTTTATTGTAGTTCAGCTGGGTCCTTGAAGCAGCAGCAGCCACCTCACACAACACTCTTTGCCTTCACTAATACGGTTCACAGGCATCCCTTCAGTTCAATATCGTAAAACATTTCATTCAAAAGTTAATCGATCTTGAATTATTGCCCACTGTTGAACTGAATACACAACTTTGAGTTGATGATTTGAATATCAGTACATGCACATGCTAGTCACAGCTGTTTGTGTACATTTTTTCTACAAAAATATCATATAAAAGCTTTACGCCATGGCTGAGCTTGGGTTAATACTAAAGATGAAAATAAAATAAAGAACAAACTCCGCTGCTTGATGAACAAACGGCCCAGTATACAAACGGAGATTCGTACCATGCTGAGTCTTAATGTGTGCTGTTGATTGAAAGTTTGGAGCTTGTGTTGCAAACAAGTGAAACCCAAACAACAAAACACAGAAAAACACAAATACTGATATTTTTACACATTTACTTCTGAATATTGCATTGCATTTGACTTCCAACAGATTACCATCCACGGTAAACTCTTCTGGCACATTTTTCAGCTTTGCCTCATTCATGAGGACACGACTTGAAAATAGACAGACAAAAAACAACTATGCAAAATTGATAAGGCAAGAGCTCCATTGAGGCCTGCCTTGATGTGAGATGGTGATAAATATAATGGAGACAAAAGGGAGAGGAAGAAAATAGCAAGTGATGGATGTGAAGTAGTTGATCACAGCAATTTAAACATAACCTTTGAGTGGTAAAGAAAATACATTTTTCACTTGGAATGAAGGCTGATGTGCCGACAGTGAAAAGAGTTGCTGCCACTCATACCAAACGTGAAGCTTGGGCAGGGTCAGAGAGGGCATCTAAGGCTGTGCCAACTCTTAGACAAATTGCCTGGTTGAAATCCAAGGTCAGCAGGTTAATAGTCTGAGTCCATGTTGAAATCAGACTTATCGTCTGATAATCCACGTAGATTTGACGGAGAGCTGAGCAAACTAAGTGCAGTTGGTTAATGCAGACCAGTAATGGTTAAAATATTTTGGAAGAATGAAACTGAACAAGACTTGGTCAGATTTTTATAAACTGAAACTAACCCTTTGAAATAATTTGTGAGGGTTTAAGACAGTTTGAGGTAACAAATTGAAGTTCAACATTAAAACGAGAAGATACAAGCATCCATCATGTTTAACGATCATGGACAAAATATAAAAACGTGAAGTGGTCCTCTTAAATTAATTCATGTCAGATTTCTGAAACACCTTTGGGTCCTTTGTGGACGGATTTTTTTGTTTTTCTGTCTTTGCTCCTTAACTTCACTTCTTTATCCGTCAGTTTTTCCTCCTTGGTAACACACACTTCTCATTTTTATTCTCCGCCTTGCCTTTTTGCTCTGTGGACACAGAAAAGCACTAAGTGATGATCAAATGAAGCGTCTTTAAATAATAATGGAACATCCCTTTGCTTTATTTTTACCTGCATTAGACCAAGTGATGACCCGCTTTTACGGTTTCTTGCCTTTTCTTTGTTCAGTTCATCATATTATAGATGTCAGATGTGAGAACTATGGCAGATGGAAGAAACAGTTACGCTTTCTAGAAATGGGTGAAATAGCATAGAAATGTTCATTAACACACTTTTTTGTGCAAAAAAATATGCAATAACTGCTTGTGCTGTTGTAAAGTTCTACAAGGTGCACACAACCATTATCCTACAGTACAGCCCAAAACTAAGAATGGTTTCTATTAAACTTCTAAAGTTATTTT